TATCTTTTTGCTCTTTTTCTTATGCTGTAACTATCTGAAAAATAGTAATGTCTGTTCTTCTCTTGAGATGCTCTTGTCCAACTCATCTGAAGCATCTGTTCTTCAAAGAGTTTTACTCACAATACATCTAACGGAACTTGGCTAGGAAGAAAAAAGTGACTACAAAATGAGAATGAATCTTAGGAATGTACCCCAGAGAAATAAGAGCCATCACACAAATAGACACACACAAATTCATGTTCATTGCAGCATTTTTCACAATAGCAAAAAGATGGAAACAACCTAAGTGCCCATCAACAACTGAATGGGTAAACAAATCATGGTGCATACATACAATGGAATACTACGCAACAATAAAGAACAATGATGAATCCATGAAACAACTCACAACATGGATAGATCTGGAGGGCATTATGCTGAGCAAAATAAGTCAATAACAAAGGACAAATATTGTATGAGACCACTATTATAAAAACTCAAGAAAAACTGTACACACAGGAACAGTCTTTGAAGGTTACCAGGGAGGGAGAGGAAGGAGGGGAAACCACTAACTAGATAGTAGACACGTGTTACCTTTAGTGAAGGGAAAGGCGATACACAATATAGGGGAGGTCAGCACAACTTGACTAAGGCAAAGGAAGCCACTGAGAGACACAGCAAAACCAGATGAATGGAAACAGGGAACCCAGGGGGGCAAGGGGGAAAGTGCTGATAAATTGCCAGGGTTGTAACCAATGTCACAAAACAATTTGTGCATCAATTTTTTGAATGGGAAACTGATATGCTCTGCAAACTTTTACCTAAAGCACAATAAAATGTTCCACAAAAAAAAAAAAAAAAAGATGGAAATGAAGAAGAGCATTCTGTAAATTATATAATTGACAGCCAAAAAGTTTACTGAATTACTGCAAGCCAGAGAAACAAACAAGCAAAAAACTGTTAAAAGAATCCAGTGGTTGATAGGGCATTAAAGACGTCCTCTCAACCAATTTTCCACCTAGAAGCCCTCATCCAATAAATGCATCTGTCCCATTAGGAAGTCTTCCAAGGATAGCTCAGGAATGTCATCTTAGCCTATGACCGACCTTGGGCCTAAAAATCATTCTTTATGCTAGCAGAGCATAAGCAAAGCATTTAATCCATGGTAGAGCTCTAGATTCATATTACCATTATTCCAATTATTTCTGCAATAGAATCACATCCTTCTTTTGTTTTTTCCTCTACAAATGGAGAATAACTATTTATCATGCTTATCATAAAAGGCCTAGCCCTCCACCTCGTGATTATTATCCATCTTAACAGGCGAATCCCATGTGGGTAGATACAGCCAAGGAATGGAACTCCATTTGGCCGCTGAGAGGAAGGGCCAGGAAGAGGTGGAGCTGAAGAGAGCAAACCATGAAAACTCTACTGCGAACGAATCCATTAGCTTTTAAACATCGAATATATCTATGCCAGTAACAATCTTCTAGGAGTCCCTAGGTGGTGCGAACGGTGAAACATGCAATTACTAGCTGAAAGTTTGGCAGTTCGAACCCACCCAACAACCACAATCTTCTGTGCTAAGACCTAAGAGAAGATCCCCAAGGAATCAACCAATCACTGATTTCAGGGAATTTAGAGTCTACTCTTACTCTTTTTTTCTAGATCTCGCTTGCTTCCTTTTCTCTTCTCTCTCCCCTTTGTCATCTGGCTTCTCTCTTCTTTCTTTCTGCTCCCTGTTCTAATCCCTCCCCTGCACCTGTGTCCAATCACTTTGTTAGACACACACACACATCCACTTATGCTCTCGCACACACATAAACACATAGCACTATCACCGCCACACTACAGTTTATTTGTTCCCTGCAAACAAGGTGGCAATTACATGTATCAAAAGATATCTGGCATCTGTTTGGTGGCTATTAAGGATGGAAGAGAAAGCCTGCTCCCCTCCTCTGATTACTAAAACCTTCTCATGTGGGAAGAATGAACAAAGGAATGATATATGTATATATATTTAGTTGTTGTTGTTATGTGCTGTCCGGTTGATTCCAACTCATAGCAACCCTATAGGACAGAGTAGAACTGCCCCATAGGGTTTCCAAGGCTGTAAATCTTTTCTTTTTTTTTTATTGTTGTGCTTTAAGTGAAAGTTTACAATTCAAATTAGTCTCTCATACAAAAATTTATACATACATTGTAATGTGACAGCACACTCCTCCTTTCCTCCCCGGATTTCTCGTGTCCATTCAACCAGCTCCTGACCCTCTCTGCCTTCTCATCTCGCCTCCGGACAAGAGCTGCCCATCTAGTCTCATGTATCTACTTAAGCTAAGAAGCACACTCTTCACGAGTATCATTTTATGTCCCATAGTCCAGCCTAATCTTTGTCTAAAGAGTTGGCCTTGAGAATGGTTTTAGTTTTGAGCTAACAGAGTCTGGGGGCCACGTCTTCCAGGGTCCCTCCAACTATCAGTCAAACCATTAAGTCTGGTCTTTTTACTAGAATTTGAGTTCTGCACCCCACTTTTCTCCTGCTCCGTCAGGGACTGTCTGTTGTGTTCCCTGTCGGGGAGGTCATTGGTGGTAGCCAGGCACCATCTAGTTCTTCTAGTCTCAGGCTGATGATGTCTCTGGTTTATGTGGCCCAGTCTGTCTCTTGGGCTAATACTTTCTTAGTGTCTTTGGTGTTATTCATTCTCCTTTGCTCCAGATGGGTTGGGACCAGTTGATGCATCTTAGATGGCCACTCGCTAGCTTTTGACTCCCCCGAGGCTGTAAATCTTTATGGAAGCAGACTGCCACATCTTTTTCTTGCACAGTAACTGGTGGATTCAAATGGCTGACCTTTCAGTTAGCAGCCGAGCAGCAACCACTGTGCCACCCGGGCTCTAGCATAGATAAATAGATAGACAGATAGATAGACAGATATAGATATAGATTGATATGTATACACCCAAACCAAACCCATTGCTATCGAGTCTATTCCAACCCATAGCGACCCTATATGATATTATACAGATGATATCACATATGTGATATTTGTATAGATATATTCATGTACAGATTCAGGTACAGAAATAAATATAGATACAGGTAAACAAAGTAATTGCTTAGCTAAGTGCTAATCCTTAGGTCTTTTTACTGGAAAATAAAATAGAAGCTCTTCTAATCATTTCTTATAAGACTTATTTTCATTCGTTTGATGACTTTGTTCTTTTCTGAGACTTTTACAGTTTCTCTTCAACACTTTTTCAAATAGAGAGATTAAAATTAGTCATAGCACACACACAAGATCCAGATGATGTTCACAAAATGTATTTTTCTTTCTTTTGGTAAACATAAAGTCTTTTCAATCAATAACAAACATATATCAATATCAATGATATCTCCTGTGTTAAAGGAGAAAATCCATCCCTCCCTCCCCTGGCTTGCCAAGCACCCTTCACACCGGACAACACTTTTGAATTTACATGTTTACACAATTACATCTCCTCAGCTACAAGGTTAACGCCATATGGAGCCAATTCAACTTCAATCCCACGATCCAGCTCAAGCCTATAAATAACCATCCAATCGTTGTGTCCTAGAAATAATTGTCTAAGGGGCAACTATAAGCAGTTCTTAATTGTCTTTGATGAATCCTTTTCTTGTGGATGAGACATGTGTCTCAGAGGAAACACGAAGACGCAGACTGGAAAAATCAGGAAACTCCAGCACAAAGCACATCACGAAACCAGAGGGGCAAACGTTAGCTTTCAGGGGTGATTCTATCCATGCAACCCAACACCTTGGCAGCTGTTGGAAAGAGGCACCCAGAAATTTAAAATAAAGCCTAGATAATGGTTTTGGTGTCAGGAAGGGTTGAGGAAAGGAAGCTATAAGATAGTCTAGTTACATATGTGGCAGCTTTTACTCTTGGGTCATTATCCTAAAAACCGTTTGATTATCTCTCTAATACAAGTTGACTTTTGGTGCTAGAAAATTTTTAAAAAGTCTTAATATTTGTGCTTTTTAACCAAATGTCTACCAGTGCCTTTGACTGACTCTGGGAACATGTGTTTTTAGCCACATTATTGTCTATAAACAAGGAAAGTCAGGAAAACTGTCTTTTTTTAAGCAGGATTCTTAACAGTAAATATGATTATCTGAGCTATAATTTCTGCAAATCATGTATGTCATTAATCATAATAAATATTTAGGAGGAAAAACAAGGTATTTCAGATTTTATTACTAACATTGTGGGTAAAAATGTCTAGTTATAATCTCCTCCTCCCTAATCACAATGTCTGATGATTGCATTCTACTTTCTAAAATCAGAAATTACATAAATATTATCTGAATAAGAATTAAATTAATCCTAACTTGTAAAACAGTTTTTCCTTAACATGTGACGTAATAAATATCAATAAGCTGGACGCTTTAATAGCAATCAAAAGAGACTTGTTGAAGTCAGAATTCATTTTTATTTTCAAGAAAGACAATAAAAATGGGGTAGAATTCCCTTTCAAACTGCTCCCAGCTTTAATTATATCCCCTTTCGGTTGAGGTATGCACAAAGTCTAAAGAGAAGAGATAAGGGCACCATGTCTTGCTCTTGAGGCTTTAGGGGGAGATTATAGCAACTTTCTCTTGAAAGAAATTAACCCAGGGCCTTCTGGAATCACACAGAGACAGTAAATATAAAACAAAATGCCTATAGGTTCACACCATGAAGCAGCTCTGCATTCTGCCTCAATCTCCCTAGAACATACCTCAAATGGGGCTCAGAATCCAAAATATGCATGTGGACCTGCACTCCTACCCCAAGCCTCCCTCCAAGTTTAACACAGTCAGTCCTTACCTGTGAAGCCTCACGGAGAACCACTTTCCATTCCCATGGCTGCCCTACTAGTAAGAGATTTATTTCAAATACCCATTCCAAGGAACTTAGATTTCCCAGGCATTGGGCGGATGTGAGGATAATTGAGAATAAAAATAAACTACTCTCTACAGAATGGCATGCATGTGACGATTACCTTCTTCTTGGATGCTTCTGACTTCTTTGACATGTTCTTCAATTTTTTGTGCAAATGATTAAGGACCTGAAAGACACAGATGGATAAAGCGAGTTTGCCTCCCACCTCGTCATGCATTGTCTGCCTGGTGTTGACCATGATTGGCATTCTAAGGTGGTAATATCATTATCTATAAAATCACAACATAATGTACTGTATTTTTACACAAATAATGCATGCCTTCTACATTTGTTTGCCAACTGTGCCCTCCCTGCTGCGAGATGTTTTCATAAGCACACTATGCTAATTTTTTACAGCAACATGTAAAAAAAATTGGCATAGTGGCTCTTATGAAAATACCTCGCAGGGGGAGGGCACGATTTGCAAACAAATGTAGAAGGTGCATGTTATTTGCATAAAAATATGGTAATAGCATTGTCTATAAAATTACTTAAATAAAAGTGCACGATAAATTAAAAAAAAAAAAACAACCCATTGCCATCGAGTCAATTCCGACTCATTGCGACCCTGTAGAACAGAGTAGAATAGCCCCAAAGGGTATCCAAGGAGCAGCTGGTGGATTTGAACTACTGATCTTTTGGTTAGCAGCTGAGCTGTTAGCCACTGTGCCACCAGGGCTCCGCACAATAAATAGAAACTGCCAAATACGCCTGCTTTCCAACGTTTGGGAGTATGACAGAACGACCAATGCCCACGGAGTGTGGGCCGTAGTACCTGTTTGCAGACAGTGCTGGTGTGTGGGTCTGATTCTTCTACAGAAAGAGCCCCACCACCACCCACTGTCACTAGATTTCCACTATAGGTCAGACACAATGACATACGGACCCATTTATTGTTGGGTGCCACCAAGTGGATTCTGACTCATAGTGACTCCATGCGACAGAGTAGAACTGCCCCATAGGGTTTCCTACGCTGTAATCTTTATGGGAGCAGATCTCCAGGTCTTTCTCCCATGGAGCTGCTGGTGGGTTCCAACTGCCAACCTTTTGGTTAGCAGCGAAGTGCTTAACCATTGCTCCAGCAGGGCTCCTTATACAGACCCTATTAAAAAAAAGAAAAAAAAGTTGCCATCAAGTCAATTCCAGCTCATACTGACCCTATAGGACAGAGCAGAACTGCCCCCTAGGGTTTCCAAGGAGTGGCTGGTGGATTTGAACTGCCGACCTTTTGGTTAGCAGCCAAGCTCTTAACCACTACCCCACCTAGATACATCAAAAAATTAGAGACCATCTCGTGCCCTCAAGGAGTTCACCATCCAACAGGGAAAGAAAGCAAATAAACAAATGGGCAGTATAACCAGATCTCTCTCCAAGGCAGCGAGGCTGAATTATGCCAAAGTTTGCTTTGATGTGTTTCATCTGTTTTCCCGTTGGGGATTGTCTCCACTTCAAATCTTCATAAAGCAAATCACCACATCAGGCCCCTTTCTTTCTTTATTAAATCCTTCTCATCGTGCTGTGCTTCTAGACCATGTACATGTTGGGAATTCAGCATCGCAACGTAGAGACCATTTAGCAGGGTTTTCAATTAATATCCCTGTCAGTGAGCCTCCTTGAAGATGCACTGGCTTCTAATTAGAGAAACTATTTCTGTCTTCCCTCACCAGGGTACTCTCAGGAGAAAGGATACAAAAATCTTTGGTTATGTACAGGAATTTCCAACACACACTCGGCCTTACGCAAGAGTGCTAACCCTGCAGAACTAGTACATGACTTTGTTTTTATACTCCATCTGAGTGAAAATCCAAAGAAAATTTAGCTCTGTATGGCCATGAGCTTTAGAGGGCCTGTAGATTGCTGAGCTGAGTGTCTCAAAGAACCAGAAGCCACTTTCCAGCTGTTTCTTTGCTTCCCTCTAGCACCGCGGCATGGAGATAATTTAATCACATCGGACTTCTTGCAGAGGCTGACTCTATTTCATCAGCTCCATGCACCACTGGAGCAACCCATCACACTCTAACTGACAACCACACAGGGTGTTTACCTCTCCTATAAGCCTCATGCAGGTTAGGCAGCTACCAGGGTGGTGTGAATCCCTGACTCTACATTCCCTGCCCGACTAAGATATTTCTCCCTTCCTAAAATGGCTGAGCATCATCTACAACATGACAAGTCTTTCACTTGCAAGAGGATCATTGGGAATAACTCTCAACACATTAACATTGGGTTACTTTATTCTTTTGCCAAGAGAAATCAGGATACTGAAAATTGAATGTAAGGCAAGTATAGAAAGGAGCTTTTGTAGGAGCAAAAGATTGCTGCCAAGGGGAAGGAAAGGGCTGGAGTGTGACCCTGCTTGGAGAGGACAGGCCTGGTAAGATGAACCAGTGGCATCTTCCCAGCAGGAGACCACAAGAGGACACTGGTCACAGAGAACAAGGGAGCAGGAGAGAAGAAGAGCTAAGAGGCAGCAGGAACACAGATCAGAGGGGGACATCTGGCGAAGAGGCTGCACAGGAAATGCAAAGGTCAACTGCTTTGTAATTGTGCCTAAGGGTCTACTCATTCCTCCGATGAATTAAATTGGATCCCTACACAGAAACTTCAGAAGACCTAAGGATATCAAATATAGTTGAACGGTCAATGAGGAAAATACCCGAGGAAACCTTGCTCAGCTCTGCTTCTTTTCCAGAGCCTGTACTCTAAGCATGTGGGGATATGTTATGACACAACATGGCAGAGTGCCTGTCATCAGAGGAGAAAGAATGGAGGTGTCGGGACAAGTTAAGATTACATTTCTCCAGAAGATAATGAGGGCTGTATGGTGGCACCTCCGTCATGCCACACGTTCTGGAGCAGGGTGTGTAGGAAGACACCCACTCAAGCCTGAGCCCAGGTCACCCTGAGTTCAGCTCTCTCTGGGCACATGGAGACACTTGGTGGGGTGGGCACATCAAGAGGTAATCTTCTTTATAGACCAAGGGGGTCCCAGACCATAATTTATCCTAAAGGAAGGAGGGGCACAGCTTTGTACAAGAGCAACTGCACGGCCTCAGAGGGGAGAGGTTTAGCAGAGCACTGGGTCTGCCCTCCCAGGCGTTCCCTAGTCCCGTGGGTGCGAGGTGCTGGGGGGAGGGGTTCAGGTGAGAAGAAACCGGAAACAACTATTCCACTAAAAATATGTAAGATTTGGGGAGCAGCAGGCAACTCAAGAATGCAGTTCTCAAGTGTTATGGATTGAATTGTGTCCACCAAAAATATGAGTTGTAAATCTTCTATGCCTGTGGGTATAACCCCATTTGGGAATGAGTCGTCTTTGTTATGTTAACGAGACAGGATTAGTGTAAGTATGTCTTAAATCAATCTCTTTTGAGATATAAAAGAGTTTAAACAAGCAAACCAGAGAAGCAGAGATGGGGGAAGAGAGATGCATAGCCAAGGACCTTCCTCCAGAGCCAACAGAGAGACAGAGACTTCCCCTAGAGCCAGCGCCCTGCATTTGGACTTCTAGCCTCCTAAACTGTGCGAAAATAAATTTCTGTTTGTTAAAGGCACCCACTTGTGGTATTTCTGTTATAGCAGCACTAGATGACTAAGATGTCTTGTTAAGTTTAAAGGTGAAACAAAACAAAATAAAAACTCACATCATCATCTCAGTGTCTCTCGGGCCATTGGTAATTTTTCCTCTCAGCTCTCAGACCTGGACCTCGGGGAAACCGCCAGTCCTGAACCCACCACTCAAGTGGCAATATCTTTAACTGAGAAGCACACACTTAATGATTAAACCAAAGAAAAGCAACTTTGTGACATCTCTACTTAGTCAGGCCTGGAGTGAATTTCCAAATATTATTTTGAATCCCAAAGATTTTCCCAGTTATGCTTAGAATCAAACTATGTGTGTGTAGAAAACGTCTCAGTGATCATATATTTATTAAATTTCTGAAAACCATTTTTAAACTTGCCCTAGATATGCCTTTTATAAACTCTCAAAAGACAGAATTTAGCCCAATACATTCCTTAAAGTTTACCTTGCTGTCTCCATTGAGAAGATCTAAAGTTATTTTTCCCTAAAGACTTTTGGGAAAGAAAGAAAGAATATGCTCCAGTTCTAACCCAACCAACTAGGAATTTAGGAGGCACTTTTTGAAAGAGTCACTGTAGGACCCAACTTGGAGCACTGACCCCCTGAACTGTTTTCACACCCTCAAGTCCTTGCCAAAATCCCTCTCCGTCCATTCAGAGGACTTGGAATCCCTGGTGAAATTCCTTCTGGAACTATCTACTAGCTTCATAAACTGGAGACAGTCACATCACTCCTCCAAACTCAGTTCCCTTATCAATAAAACAGGGACTATAGTTTCAAGCCACAGGGCTGCTGTGCAGATCAGTGAGATAACGCGTGAGACACATAGAACCAGCGTTTGTTTCAAATTTGCAGGACACCAAATATAGAAAGGAGCTTTGGTGGTACAGCGGCTAAGTGGTTGGATGCTAACCAGAATGTTGGCAGTTCGAATCCACCCAGGGGCTCAGGGGAGAAAGACCTGGTGATCTGCTCCCATAAAGATTACATCCTAGAAAATCCTACGGGGCAGTGCTACTCTGTAGACATACGGGGTTGCTATGAGTCGGAATTGACTTGACAGCACCTAACTACAAAATAAAAAGATTAGCCATTTTCCAGATAATTAAGTGGGAGTTATTTTCCACATTGCCTGTCTCCACTATATTTTATATATAACCGCTTGGTGCAGTCATTCTTTCAGATTATATCCAAAATTATTCCCATTCAAAATATAGACACAACTCTATATTGATGATAATGCACGGGGGAACCCCATACCAGATGGCTTATGTCAGACATTTTTCTGGAAAAATAAGAATTACTTTCTTGCTTCTACCACCGTCTGTTTCTTCAGGGTTCTACAGCCACAGCCTTACCAGAAATAAAATGAGAGACAGAGAGAGATGAAGCTAAATTGGTGCAAATGTTAGTGTTTTTCTAATGGTGATACTACTCTAAAGACAATACTTCGGGTGATATTACAGTGTACCCCATAAATCACCATCATATGGTGTAGGTACGAAATCTTCAAAATCCTGTGTTGTTCATGAAAGAGAAGGTGCATTTAGGGAGCTGGCCAGGCTGTATACAGGGAGGACTAGAACAGTCTCCCCAGTGAGGAAGAGCCCCATAGGTGAAATCAGGTGGGTGTCCAGAGTGTTTCTCTAGAGTCGGAGATTTAGACCCGCTCTGACCTGAATCACTTCATATTGTTTAGACAACCATTCTAAAAGGACTCAAATGGAAACACAACAGCTCCAGTTGCCTTCCTTCCAAACTTCTCTGGACACTCCAGTCAAGACTAAGTGAAGAAATGCTGCTTTACGACTTGGAGTTTTTTAAGTTAAACTTCTCTGTACAATGAACCACGCGACTCTGCCCCCATGAGTAGTGGCTTCCCAGAACCGGGTCCCGCAAAGCCGCTTCTGGTGAGCGCACGCCCTGAGCGCCCGCGGGGACCCGTATGGCACCACAAGCCCCTCCACCGTGCTACCCCGCACGGGCGCCCTACAATCCCTGCATCCCTCATTTCTTTGCTCGGGTAATCTGGGGCCGAGAGTTAAAAAGCAGAGCTGGCTTTTCATCAGTTGAGGGGGTGCTCTGAGCACGCCTCTCCTGCCAGCGCTGCAAGGTGCAAGGACGGAGAAGGGAGGTGAGTCGTCTAGGGACGTCTGGGAAACGAAGGGCACACTGTCCCGGGCATTTCTCAAACTCCAAATAACTTCCTTGTGCAACCTCCAGCGGGAAGCCCAAGCAGAGGCGAGGGCAAAACTAAACGGAGAAGGTTCTCCACACAGACGAGCCCCGAAAACAAAAGGGGACGCCCCAGGCCCTCACCCCCGCCGTCCCCCGCCGCCCGCCCACCTTGGCATAGCAGAAGCAGATGAGTAGCAGCGGCAGCAGGTACCCGAAGACAAAGGTGCACACCACATAGGCCTTCTTGTGGCGCTGGTTGGGCCACTGCTCCCAACAGAAGGTCTGGTTGCCGGAGCCGCGGAGGAAGAGGCGCTGGTGATAGGCCACGGGCGAGGCCATGGCGATGGACAGCGCCCAGATGACGGCGACGCCCAGCAGCGCGTTGCGGGACACCCGCAGCGAGGAGGAGCGCCGCGAGTGTACGATGGCCACGTAGCGGTCTACAGACATCGCGACCAGGGTGAAGATGCTGACCAGCATGGAGACGGTGAAGAAGTAGTGGGTGAACTTGCAGATGAAGGCGCCCAGCACCCAGGTGGGAAGCACGTACACGGTGGCCTGGAAGGGGATGCAGAAGAGCAGGTAGGCAAGGTCGGCGATGCTCAGGTTGAGGATGAACAGGTTGGTGGTGCTGCGCGGCTTGCCCGGTTTGCTGCGCGCCAGCACGGTGATCACTAGGCTGTTGCCCAGCACGCCCAGCACGAAGATAAGGCCGAACACCACGAGCGTGGCCAGGTTCTCGACGCCGATGCCCAGCAGCGGCAGCGGCTCGTGGCCACTGGGCTCCGGGCCGCTGGGCTCAGGCCCGCTTGCGTTGCCCTCGCTTACATTCCCGGCTGCTAGCTCCATGGCCCGGGCGCCCGGGCGCGGGGCGCACTGGGACGCAGCGGTCCCAGCCCAGAGGCGGGCGCGTGTCCCCGCGCCGGAGCTGCCCTCGAGGCGCACGACACGGCGCGGCCCTGGGTTGGCTGTGCGGCCGCCGGTGAGCCGGCGGGTACTCGCGTTGGGGTCGCGGGCGGCTATCCCTGGGATGGGGGCGGCTCCGGCCCCGGCCCCAGCCCGGACCCCGACCCTGGCTCTCCGCCTGTGGCGCCGCCACCGAGCCGCGCCGGAGGGACGCTCCAGCTGTGGCCGCGGTGGAGACCCTCCCACGGCCTTACTCGCTTGAGTCCGGGCTGGCAGCGTGCCCTCGCTCCGGGAGTGGCTGCGGGCCGCACCTGTTGCTCCGAGCGCCTGCTTCCCGCGGCCGGTGGAGAGGGCTCTGGCGCGCCAGTACTCCCGGCGCTCCTCCTTGCTCCTCCTTCCCTCTCAATGTTTACAGGGGCTGGAAGGAGTCCCCAGGGCGAGCGCGCTCCTGCGCTTTCCTGGTGGTCAGCAGTGGTGTGTACAGGGACTCCTCGGCTGCAACTGAGAGAGGAAGCAAGGACTCCGGCCGGCTGTGTGCCTCCCCCGACCGCGGGAAGTCAATGCGCGCGGCAGAGGCTGGATGCGTCCTAACGGGATGGGTCGCCGGCCACCTCCCTGCTGGGTTCAGCCATGCACTCTCTTCTCTGCAAGGCGTGGAGCTCCGGGTACAGCCAGGGCTGCTGCCCGCCTGATGCAGTTACTGCCCCAGCGCGCAAGGAGCTGGAAGCGCTCGGTCGTTCAAGGCACGCGGAGGTGGCCGGTGCGCAGACTTCTTCATCTTCGGAACTGTTCCTTCTCTCCCTCCCTCCTGGGTGTCCGTCAGTGAGAGTGCATCCTGTCCCAGGAATAAACCCCAAGAAATGCAGCGTTGGCTGTGTCCGTGTACAAAAAGAAAATGCGTCTGGCGCTGCCACCTGGAGTTTTGTAAAATTTGCTGCCTATTCACGACCACCCCCACCCCGCACATGGCCAGGGAGGAAAACAGAATGACCTGTGTGAATTTTCTTCTTAAATGTGTCTGAGAAGATCAGGGGATGTGAGTCGTGTTGACATTATTCAACTTGAGATCATTTTTGCCTTACGTTATTCATCTAAGTGTCATAAACAGAAGTACCGACGAATGAAATATTTGTAAAGTCATACAATGTTTCATACTGTATCACTGCAGTAAGACATGGATATGCCAACAGAAAATGAAGCCGTTTAAGTGTAGTAGTGCTAGTGAACAATATCCTTGTTTGTTGTCTTTGTAGTTCTCAAGTAAAGAACTGAAACTGAGTCATTTATTTGCAGTGTTTATATGGTTTGTCTAGACCCAGTCTCAATAACACCTGTATGTTTCCAGCACTGCCCAAATGGTTATGGAGTGCCCACTATATGCCAGACACAGTGCTTTAGGAGACGGGTAACGCAAAGACCAGCAGGATGCAATGTTCCCTGGAAGACTCCCTGTCATTGGAGACAAAGAGATTTAGATTCAGAATATGGCAAGTGCTGGTTACCAGGTGCCAGTGCCAGAGGGAGAGAGCGTGAGGATAGACTCATCGCTTAAGCGACACCGAGCCTCTGTTAAGGGTGATGGAAAAATGTGGAAAGGGTAATGGTAATAGTTGAACAACATGATGAACCTAATTAATGTCACTGAATTGTACGTGTAAGAAATGTTGAAATGGTAAATGTTTTGTTACATTTATATTTATCACAATAAAAAAGAATATGAACAAAGATGATGCAGGAGCCATCTTTGCCTTGGGAAGTTTGAGAAGTGAGTACTGTTTCATGTCTAGCTAGCTAGCTCTCCTCTTCCTCATTTCCAGAGAGACTTATGCAGCTCATTGAACATCCTCTATGTGCCAGGTACTTCAACTGCATTTGTTGTTTCCTTTAATCCTCACAAATCCCTTGTAAGGGAGATATTATATTCACCCACGTTTTCCAGAGGACAAAATTGAGTTTAAGTAACCCGCTTATCCAAGTATCTTGCTAAACCCAAAAATATGCTTACCTTCCCTAACTGGTTATCTCAAAATGTCATTAATGTCTCTTGCACTTCAGTATTCCTTCTCTGCCCCAGCTGCTCTCCCTTGGGCTTTTGTGGTATCCTGTTGTGCTGGACCCTGGTGGCACAGTGGTTAAGAGCTCAGGTTGCTAACCAAAAGGTCAGCAATTCAAATCCACCAGTCGCTCCTTGGAAAACCTTTGGGGCAGTTCTACTCTGTCCTATAGAGTCACTATGAGTCAGAATCAACTGGATGGCAATGGGTTTGGTTTTCTTTTTTTTTTTTTTTTTTTTTTTTTTTGGTTTATTGTGCTGGACAGCTCTGTAGCATTGAGAGTTACAGGTTTCCCTTGCTATCCAAAAGTAGAGCATTCTGTAAGCTGAAATGTTGTAAAGCAATTACCATTCATTTACATGGGAAAAATTTTTGAGCATTCCCAGACCCAAAAAATAACCTACCAAATCATACCAAATAACACATAAAACCTAAAATAACACTAACATAGTAAAAGCAGGAAACAGCACATAACTGATTTTAAAATCCAATTTTACAATCTCTATTTTTTGACTAGAGTTTAGTCCATTTACATTTATTGTGATATATTTATCTTCATATATGTATATATACACATATGTACACACACACA